GTATACAAACTAGAATGAATATATTCTTTTTTTCATGCAACATGTCTTTAATCTCCTTATCTATTTTTATTTCTACATTTTTATGTAGCCTCACTTTTAATCTAGCACTGGTTATAATTTTAGTAAAGAAATATTCGTGCAATTATACTTATTTATGGTAGTTATAAAAATTGTTTGCAGCTTATTTGTACATTAATTTGATTTCTAACACTTTCTGCCTTTCTAGAACGTGCCGTAATTTCGGCACTCCTAAGTTTTGTCCCTGGTGTCTCAGACCTACACGAGGATGGATCTTTATTGTCCAATTCCAAGGATGAAATTCGCATCTCCAGCAAAGTCCATGATACTGGATTATCTAATAGCCTTAGCGCTTTCGAAGACAAGCCTGATTGGTTTGAAAAACCTTCTGAACAACAACAACGAACTGGTCGCAAGGACAGTCCATACTTTACCCTTTGTCTCACTATCTTCTCGCTCTTATTTTGCTGCTTCCTAGTACATGGTGCCGCTACACGTCAGCCTACTCTGCTTTTACCGTTCTTCTGCCTTCAAGTATTCGACTTTATTGTTGCAATTCTTAGTATCGTCGGATTAATGTCTTCTAAGCCTGACATATGCATATGGTTTCGCCTCAAGGTTAGCTATCTTAGCCGTTATAATTTATTCCATTCGTGTTCATTTTTTATATTTTTTATAACTTTGATTTCTTTTACTTCACTTAGTCATTGTTTTTTATTTGAGCTATTGTTTGTCGCTATTATGCTTCCCTCGCCAAAGTTCCCTGGCTTTGTCGTTCGAACAAGCATCAGTTTTGTTTATTCACTAATGCCTAGGCTTGGAATGCTGAGATGCTTGTATGTTCTAAACTCGACATCATGGTAAGTATTCCACAGATCTTAATTTGCAGTGTGTACGCATGAAACTTAGGCTTAAATTTCCTCAAGTAATTTCGTGCTTATCATGCTTATAGACCTAATTTGTTTGTTTAGCTTAGCAACTTTAAGCATTCGCCATACCTGTGCTTTATGGGAAATCGCCATTTTACTTCAAGCTATTTCCACATTTTTGTCTTCTAAGTTGAGAGGTTATTGTGTGCTCGCTTATATGTTTGTATTCTCTGGACATTATTATCTGTTCAATTATGAGATGTATTATTTATACTGTAGTCGTTTATGAATTAGTTTAATATTTATATTTAAGTATTCACAATTGATTTTTATATGCATAAAGCTAGAAATAGCCTAATTACATCCAGCTTAATATAATTTACATAACAATAGCTAAAAAGTCTAATAAAAGCTATGCTCGATAAGTGGGGTTCACTGATGTTAGGTTTGTAGATTCTACTCAATAATCTTACGTTGAACAGACAAAAATTGATTTTTATTAAGTAGCCGAACTTTTTTATTGTTCATTTATCTTGGGATACTCTTTCTTTTCATATGTTTGATTGTGGTTGTCTGGTATCTGTTCGTGATATCAGTTAAAAGAATGTATTACTGTTTTTCGTGGAGGATCTATGGGATGAGATAGTTTGATTTTTTTTCTCATATTAGACACATTGTTCAATAAACCAAGTGAAGTATGGCCAAAGGAGAGACCTACTGGTAGTTAAATAAGTTTGTTAAACAGGTTTCATAATGTATTCTATGTTATTAAGAAGTTTTCTTTTGTCTGTTTGTCTCTTGAATTATGAATTGATCATGCGATAATATCAGCATACTGCTAACACGAAGTGCTTGGGGTCTGTGCCTTAATTCTTTGTAAAATCCAACTTATAAACTGAGGCGTCTTCCGGAATGGAATGTTGTTGCGAATATTTATAAGAGAAATATCCTTTATTTTTTTTTCTAAGGAGGCTTGTGAACAAGGGATCTAACGAATCTTTTGGAGATAATTGAAGAAAACAGTCAAAGAGGCTTTTGCTCTTCCCATATTTTTTCTCTGGTGAGAGTAAAGATCTATATTGTAATCTGTCTGTTTTGGGTGAAATTTGATCACCAGGCGAGACGTAAGAGAAGCACTACCATAGTCTATAAGAAGTATATATATGCAAAACACAATTAGTGGTAGTCGGGATAGTAGCTCCGGTGACCTGACTAGAGAATCGATTTAAGCTCGGCTATATTATCGAACGCATTTGGTTCACATATTTTACTTTTGAGCCTGCATTGAAGTCCCGGGGAATTACTTGACCTAATGAATTTACCA